TTCTGTTTGTGATGTCTTTGCTTGACAGTAATAAAGCCTAATATCAAAGTGTACTGCTGTGTGTGTGTTTTTATATATTTGTGTGTTTTGATTGTGTTGTGTGAAAGAAAGAGATAGAGACTGAAGCAAAAGCCTTCTACACCCTGATATAGATCAGCCAGATGCCGTCCCCACAAAAAATTGCTATTCATACATCTTAATTACTTATTAGTTGCTCCTCTTCTACCTTGGGGTGTAGATATTTGCCAGAGAGATCACCAGACGTCTCTATCAACAGTTATTTTTCTGGCTTTGTTCCATTTCAGTCCTCTGTCAGTTAAGGACTGTCGGATGTTGTCTTCCCAGCGCTATTTGTACATCTCCTGATTTTATCCCACTTGTGTATAGCTAGTAGCAGTAGTAAATTTAACCCCACCAGCGATAAACACCTGATGACACAAAGTGCAACCATATGAATAAGGATCACTAGTGGAGAGGTCCTGAAAGCAGCATTCAGCCATTTGACCATATTTATGGCCAGGGTGGGGTTTCCAAATTAAAAAAAATTGCATTCCACAAGGGGATAGGCGAAATTAATATATATATATATACATACATTGTGTATAGCTATCTGCCTCTTATTTATATGCTGCCTTTCTTGTTCCAGTGCGTTTTTTGTAAGAGTTTTAGGACTGAAAATTTAGTGACAAATTTCTTTTTGTAGGGGTAAGAGTTGTGGTTTTGTAGACACATGATGAGAATTCCATGGGCAGATGAAAAGAGTGATAAAGGTGTCTTGAAAAAAAATTACTTACAAAGAAAACTGAATGCCCAGTCAGAAGGAGACAATCTTCATTTTTTGGTCATGTCATGAGAAAACCTTGAAGCAATGAAAAAGTTGGAGGGAGTAAGAGGCAGAGAGAAAAAGACTAAGAGGGAAGATGCTGGACAGTTTGAAATCAAGGCATGGAAGACTATCTGTGTCAGAACTGACTGAAAAGTAAATGATAGAGAAGGTTGTGGATAGACATGACTCATCATCATCAGGTGCCTTGTCGACTGGCATGGGCGATACCTCTCCATAATCGGCGATCTCCTGCAGCATGTATCAGTTCGTGTGCTGACACACCTCCATGCGATGCAACAAGACTGTCAAGCATCTTCTCTCGTTGTCTTCCTCTATCCGTCCTTCCACAGATCTTTCCAGTGGTCAAAACATGTTCTATTTTCCCTCTTCTCATAACATGGCTGAAAAATGATGATCGTCTCCTTCTGATGTCTGTGATAAGTTGTCTTCGGGCTCCCGCCTCTTTTAAACCTCTTGGTTGCTCTTTTTGGCTGTCCAAGGTATTCTAAGCATTCTTCTGTAAAACCACATCTCTGAGGCCTCTAAAAATTGTTTGGCCTGCCTACCGATTGACCAGGATTCACATCCATATGTTAAAACTGGATGTATGTAGCAAGCAAGAATTCTTTTTCTAACTCTCAATGACAAGGATATATTGCACAAGATGTTTTTCATTTTATAAAATGCAGTTTTTGCCTGTCCAATTCTGTTTCTTATTTCAGTTATGCATCTTCCATCTGATGTTATCCATGTGCCCAGATACTTAAATTTCGGGACTTGTCTTAAAATAACACCATCGACGTTTATTACACATTTAGGAATAATTTGTTTCTTTATGACTACCAATGCCAAACACAGAGTGGACTATAAGAAGACATTCGGACTGAAATACAAACTCTTTTCACACCTAGCCTCATCATAATCTCTATTTGTGTTTATTTCTCCAATATTCATAGTTCTGAGGTGCCAGGTTCAATCTCAGCTGAAAGCGATTTGACAGCGAACTGCTTTGCATTAGTTTTGACATTGGTATCAAGAGCCGACTGTGCTCAGAAGGCAATGGCAAAATACTGAACTTAAAATTGCCTAGTAAAAAGAGGAACAACCAAAAAATGCTGGGTGTTAGTTTTGCAATGTCCTGTAAAGGATACATAACAAACTTTTTCTCCAATATATGACTTGTTTTGTAGAGGATACACGACTAACTTTGTTACTTTTCCAATAGCTGACTACAAACGGGGCAAATCCACAGGTCACGGGACAGTCTAATATTTCAGGGGGTTGTAGATGAAAGATATAGTCTAATAATTTAGCATTTTATTTGCCGTGCAGTTTTCACTTTTCTATGGAAAGAAGAAATGTGCGACACATAAAAAAAGCAGAGCCAGGAAACCCAGTCTTACAACCCTCGAAAATATTGGACTGTCCCATAATGTCATATCTGGTCAGCTACTGGGAAAGAACCCTAACATATTCTCCAGTATATGACTTGTTATATAAGAAGCTCCAGTACCTTAAGCTTCTTAATTGCTTGTTTCCTGTCCAGGTTTCTAGACTATAAAGTGGTACTCAGAATGCTCACACACAAATTACTATTAAGAAAAACAACGCAAATTAAGGATGGGTTTCTGTTTGTTTCCTAGTGCAAATCCCTGTGTGTGTTTCATAGTCCAACTGCCTCCCTCCTGCAAACAAGCATATTGTAAAAGTGGACCAATCAGTTGTGTTTCTTCAAAGTTGCAGTGCATCTGCCTGACAGGCAAGGAACCAACAGTCTGCATACAAATAAGCCAGATATATAACATGGATGTGCATGCAAAACTCAAGTTCTGGAATAATGCTAAAGTCTAGAAGTAACCAACAACCAGAATTTTCCATGACAGTTTACAGCCGGTGAACATGAAGAAGAAGAGTGCAAAATGACTACAATTTAAAACAAAACTAAAAAATGTATATATATATTTTATTGCAAAAGATCTGAGTTTCACAGTCATATTTTTTATTAAACTATATCCAATCAACAAACAAAGTTTTACCAATAAAATAAATTCACATGTATTCTTCAACCATGGATTAATTACATAAAGATAGGTGATTTGGTCAAGTAATGAGAGTACAGCATGCTAAACTATCCGTTTGCTTTCAACTGTAGAATAATAGGTTTCAGAACATGAGGTCAAATGCTCGAGGCTCAGAGGAAAGGCAAGACGGACATTTAATCAGCATGCTACTGGCACCATTAGTATCGGAACTCTTCACTGGCTGCTGAGGATGGGTACGGAGAGCTTATGGGAATGCCCTTAGTGCTGTGATGTTGGTTCTTGAATCAAATCAGAACATGAGGAAGACATGTAGATAGACTGGCATTATCAATAACATACAACACAGGCTCAAATAAGCTACTGCAACATTTGGTACTACACTGTTTGGTTCCCCCCCTCACCCCAAAAAAAAGACAAAAGTCTTTGATTAATTTCTGCTTCAAATGATGCCTTGAGGGCATTTATTTTCTTCACGTACAAAAAATGTACACTTACATTTTTATTTATTTAACAAGACGAGCAGAATATTTTCAAGAGCTACTCAATCCTGAAAACAAGGAAGAAAACATCAGCTGTGTGCCCAAGTGCTACTCAATCCTGAAAACGAGGTAGGTAACATCAGTTGTGTGCCCAAGTGCTACTCAATCCTGAAAACGAGGTAGGTAACATCAGATGTGTGCCCAAGAGCTACTCAATCCTGAAAACGAGGTAGGTAACATCAGTTGTGTGCCCAAGTGCTACTCAATCCTGAAAACGAGGTAGGTAACATCAGTTGTGTGCCCAAGAGCTACTAAACCTGAAAACAAGGAAGATAAGTTGTGTTCCCAAGAGCTACTCAACCCTGAAAACGAGGTAGGTAACATCAGATGTGTGCCCAAAAGCTACTCAACCCTGAAAACGAGGAAGAAAACATCAGTTGTGTGCCCAAGAGCTACTCAACCCTGAAAACAAGGAAGAAAACATCAGTTGTGTGCCCAAGAGCTACTCAACCCTAAACTAAAAACAAGGAAGATAACATCAGTTGTGTACCCAAGAGCTACTCAACCCTGAAAACGAGGTAGGTAACATCAGTTGTGTGCCCAAGAGCTACTCAACCCTAAACTAAAAACAAGGAAGAAAACATCAGTTGTGTACCCAAGAGCTACTCAACCCTGAAAACGAGGTAGGTAACATCAGTTGTGTACCCAAGAGCTACTCAACCCTGAAAACGAGGTAGGTAACATCAGTTGTGTGCCCAAGAGCTACTCAACCCTGAAAACGAGGAAGATAACATCAGTTGTGTGCCCAAAAGCAGTAACCAGGATAAACCAAACCTTTTAACATCAGAAGTTAAAGCTATTATACAGACAAGCCCTAAAAACAAAGCACCTGGTTTAGATGGAATAACTACACAAGCCTTTCAAGCATATGGTCAAACTGGCAACAAATGGCTTACACACATTTTCAGCACAGCATGGGAAGAAAGGAAAGATCCACTTGACTGGCAGCAGGCATTGATAATAACAATTTGGAAAAAGAAAGATAACACGAGAGACTGTGCATCCTACAGAGGCATATCACTCTAGAGCCACACAGGAAAAATGATTAGAACGCAGTTAAACCTAAAGCGGAACAGCCCTAAGTACATCACAGTTTGGTTTCAAGAAAGGAAAAGGTTGCATAGATGCAAAGAACAGACCAAAAGCCTCCTAACAAGTATGTTGTAAATGACAACTATCTAAGAGTTTGCTGAAAATTGATGTCTTGGGCCGAAAGGTGCAGATACTGAAGCTACAGGGGAAGTCGCCGTGGCCGAGCGGCTAGACACGCGCCAAGGATTAGAAGGTCGTGGGTTCGCTCCCTGGCGGAGCCGGACTTTTCTTCAAAAACTACCTTGGCTCCCAGGTCGACCCAGTCTTGAGTGGGTACCGGGTGCAGTCCCGGGAAGTAGAGGCGGCCGGCGTGATGCTGACCACATCACCCATCTTGTGCCGTTGGTCTATAAAAATACAGGTCTAGCCCTATACGCCTAAAGGCGTGGAAAAGGGTCCTTACTGAAGCTACAACACAATGTGCTATTAATGCTATTAACCCAAAACAAGATGCCAACCCCGCCTGTTAAGGGCAGATGCAAAAGAAGAAAAAATGCAAGATTACAATCTCAATCTTGTAAACACAATAAGATGATCTGATGGAAACATTTCCTCGGGCAGCAGTGAATAAATTAACTGAATATCCTTATGAAAGAACCATCTCATCAACAGAAGTAACACAAGCAGTGAAGCCAACATGACAAGCAGCAGCAAGACAGGAGGAAGCCTGCATAAACAGAATAATTGTGTGGCTTTAATTTTGTACTTCCGAGGCACTGTTGGAAAGTTAAACAGATTTTTGTTAAACAAACAACAACGATACCCACAGAGTTCCAGAATGTCTTTGTGACCTACTTTAGTGGATACAATTAAAATTTTTAAAACAGAAAAAAATAAGACTAGAAGACAGATTGCAAACGGAATCAGAAAGACCAAGAATGAAACAAAAATAAAACTATTACATTCAACACAATCTGGGACATTACAATTATCCTGGTTTCCCCCTGAAATACAAATACCACATCTGCAGGAGCCGTGAGGTCCACAGTCTTGAAGACACGAGTAACCTGATCGACCCATGAAAGCATCAAAGGAAGTTCTTAAGACAGTCTTTGCTCGGCTGATGATCACATTTTGGTAATAGTATTTTCTATAATTTGTTCCGTTTCCTGCCAGACCAGCATCTTCTACTGTGATATTTCTTGAAACTAGAATTCTATCAGGCCGGCTTACCAGACCTGGGGTTGGCTAAGACATAGAATAAAAGGACAGAAAACAAATGTAAATTAATTGGAAAAAAAAATTATGTATATGAAAAGAAACTTAAGTATATGAAACATTTTGGTCATATTAAGTGCCATGATGGATTGGAAAAAAATAATAGCAGAAGTCATGGTACCAGGAAGGAGGGGCAGGGGCCGACCAACACGAAGATGGGCACATGATATAAGTGACTCCTTGAGTATGGAAGTACATGAGATGGGAGAGCTGGTGAGAGACCGAGTTTCTTTCAGGCAGACCGCGATGAAAGGGACGTTCTTCAATGGACGATGATGATATGAAAAGAACAATATTTTTTGTTCTGTTTTTAAACTGATGGAAGATGTTCTTCTTCTTCAGCCTTCCATGCCCTTAAGGCTCACTGATGCAGGTATCACCCACTGCTACTCATCTCTACGGCTAGCCCTCTCCTTCCAGTTGGTGACTGCAAGTATTTCTAGTCCTGCGTGTATATCATCTGTCCGTCATCTTTTTGGTCTCTCCAGGTGGGGTCTTTTGTTCATGGAGTTTTTTTTTTCTCTTTCTGTGTTATCTGCACCAATCATTGCAGCTTCAAGATTTTTTTTTATGCTGTAAAAATTTGTTTTAAAATAATCGGAAGATATAATATTTTTCAAACCTGGATGTAATTAATCACAAAAATAAACAATCAGATTGACAGAAACTGCCATCACTACCTGTGGTGACCACTTCTGTGGTGTAGGCAGTTGATCTTTGAGTCGGAAAATGCATGGCTATATGGCTAGTGCTGTCGCCACGGACTGTGCAGGTTATTTATTTTTGCCTCTAGGAAACAAAAATCCACAACCTTTAGGAGGATTCTAATCTAGTCTCTCATATAAGAACCCAGGGTAATTAATTATTTGGCCAGTCGTTCATTTGGTTGACAAACCTGATGGAAAAAAGAGAAAAAGGGAGTTCTAAAAAGCGAGTTGCATATCCTTCACTGGATGCTGCAAACAAACAACAACACTGCTGGCCATTTGTGGTTTTACCAGACAATATTACTTTGTGAAGTTTGGCACTACTGCATTGCTGGAAATTTTGCAGCAGATGACCAGTGGGTGGAGGCTCAGTAGAGAGGAAGAAAAGAAGGTGCAGACCAAGAAAGACCCAGATACAGAATTTGGCTCAACGGAATTGAATCAAAACTACATAAATGAAATGTCTACGATAAATCCTGAACATTATAAGATGACACAGGATCAGAAATGATGATACCAGAAAAGAAGCTGGGGCATAATCAGTACTAAACTACATCAAGAGATAAGAGATCAGATCAAATGGTTCGGACATGTGTCATGCTTCCCTGTGTGGGTTCTGGGGCTCCATTGTGGGGAAAACAAGAACAGACCCACTGCCTCCCCAACAAGCATGTCCTAGGAGCTGACTAACTGGGGACTTCTTTCAAGTCAGAGTCAGTGTTGCCACTTTGGATCTTTTGTATCCAAATTTAGATCTTTTTCATTGCGTTTAGATCCTGTTTTTGACGTTTAGATACTAAATATTTTTCTAGATTCTTTTCATATGGAGTTAGGTATTTTATAGGTTTTTTTTTCTTTTAGTGTCATTTTAATAATTATTGAGTAAAATATTTACTAAAATATTTTTGTTTTGGTCTGGCACGTACATTGTGGCAACTGTCATTACTTAAACTTTGAACTCTCACTGGGGTCAACACTCAAATATCTGACAACCCCGGTGCTGATTAATCGAAATCGCGCGTAAATCATACTAACTTTGTTTCAACCGTATTCTCACTGTGTTGTGAAGTATAGCTGTGATTCTGACTCTGTGTTTCTTTTTCATGTGATTTTTAAAAAAAATAATTGCTCACCTTCTTGTGTGGCTTTCATTTTGAAAAAAACTTCAACATACCAAAAGTAAAGTATGAGCAAAAATTTCGTAAAGAGTGGTTGCATGATGACAAAATTAAAGACTGGGTGATGGCAGTTCCTGGGGATATAACCAAGGCTCGTTGTAAGTACTGCAAGTGTGAAATTAAAGCGAAAATACAAGACTTAAAGAAGCATGCAGAGACTAACAACCATAAAACTGCAGTTCCATTTAAAGATATTACACCGCTGACATCTGTTTTCAGAACTACACTGATAAATGAGTCATCAAAAGTTGAAGGGTCGGTCGCAATGTTTTTAAATTGCCATTGTGCAATTTCAAACTGTGACCATTTGATTGATTTGTTTAAAAACACAATTTCTGACAGTAAAGTTATGGATGATGTGAAAATGCATCGCAGCAAGTGTACACATATTATAAGAAATACTTTATTTTCTCACTTCGAAAAAGATTTGATCAGTGATATTTCTACAAATAAATATAGTTTATTATTAGACGAATCAAATGATATTTCGGTACTGAAAGTGCTTGGTGTGTGTATTATATATTACAGCAACAATACAGACAAAGTAGTTTCTACATATCTTGGACTAGTTCAATTGGAAAAGTGTGATGCAGAAAGTATAGTTCAAGAACTGAAGAACCTTTTAATCAGCAAACAGTTAGACTTGACAAATTTGGTTGCAATTGGTACCGATAATGCCTCAGTGATGGTTGGCATAAACAATGGCGTTTATGCCAAGTTGAAGGAAGCCATCCCATTGTTAATACTTATAAAATGTATGTGTCATTCATTGCAGCTAGCATTATCACATGCTTCATCTGAATGTTTACCAAGGAATTTGGAATACCTTATTGCTGAAACACATAACTGGTTTTCAAAATCATATGTCAGACAACAGCAATACAATGCATTGTATTCAGCCTTAAATAATGGTTCCACACCACTGAAAATTCTGTCAGATTGCAAAACCAGGTGGTTATCAATACAACCAGCTGTTGAAAGAATTGTGAACCAATGGTTGGAGTTAAAGACACACTTTGAAATAACAAGACAAAGTGAAAAGTGCTACACAGCTGAGATACTATATGGAATGTACAGTGATGAAAAAAATTTGGCATTCCTTCTCTTTTTACAACCTATTCTAATGGAAGTGCAAAAAGTTAATAAACTGTTCGAATCCAAACATGTTGATAAAGTTAAATTACTTGACGATCTCACTTTGCTATATTACTCAGTTGGTAAAAGACTGGTGTTGCCAACTTCAAAAGTTGATTTGCTCACTTGCACTATAGAGAGCTATTTGGCTCCTAAGCCATACCTTGGATATCAAATTGAATCAAAAATTGATGATTTAAAAACAAAAGGACTGTTAACAGAGAATGAAGAGAACAACTTAAGAAAACGCTGTCAAGTTTTCATTATCTCATTGTTCAAGCAACTAAAGCAGAGACTTCCTGAAAATCTAGATGTATTGAAACATATTTCACTTTTTTCTGTGAGCAACATACTTCAGCTAGTAAAGGACATACCTAAATATTGTAAAGTTATGCAATTTTTAGGGGCTACTGACAATAGTGTCGCGGAAGCAGAATATCAAACAGTCCATTATGTAAACTCTTTGAATGTGCCATGTCTGCCATGGTACTACCCCACTCAAATGCTGACGTAGAAAGAGTTTTCAGTGCTATGAATTACATCAAATCTAACCTAAGAAACAGGATGAAATTAGACCTCTTAAATGCTATCTTGACAATAAAGTTTGGCCTGATGAGAGTAGGAAAATGCTGTTCCACTTATCAGCTCCCTGATTGTGTATTAAAAGAAATAGGAACAGCTAAAGCATACCAGAGTAATTTGGGATCTGAAGCTTCAACTTCATCATCCAAGCTAAGTTTATCCTGTGGATCTTGTGAAGCAGACATCAGTGAAGATGAGGACATGTGTCTATAGGGTAAGTCATTTCAATAGTTTTGTAATTTGTGACTCTTTTCATTTGGATATTTTTTAAAAATATTTTCCACGCAAATTTAGATCTTTTTAGAAATTTTTTTACCCCGTTTTCGATCTTTTTTGTCAAAGAAAAGTGGCAACACTGGTCAGAGTTCATCCGCCTGAGCGGCAAGGAACAACCAACTGCACACAAACAAGCCAGTAAAATGGTTATACATGCAAAACCCAGGCCCTGGCAACAAGCCAGAATCCAAAATGGACGAATAACCAGGACTTTCCGCCGGAGCATACAGCTGGTGAACAAAGAAGAAAGAGATGTGGTAAGACTACTACCAGATATTGCATCACAGAGAGCCCTATCACTTACACATAATGGAAGCAGAGCCAGAGGTCCACCATGCAAGAGATGAATAGATGGAATATACGAAGCCATAAATACCATCATCTATGTAGCACACACCAAGGCTCGTATCAAATGCCTCCTCAAAACCTGATGCTGTTGAGGCAGAACAGGACTAGAGAAGAAGTAAAACAGGCCGTAAACATCAAGTCCATTGAATCTGACACACAAAGGTGATCCATGGAAGGAACTAATCAGACAGTCAACAGCAACTGGTGTCCTAATGCCACGGGGTGTTCGGGAATGATGATTATTATGACAACCATTAGGGAAAGTAGGCAATGTGATTTACCACGAACTCAAAAGTTTAAAATGTTTTTAAGCAGAACAGTAAGTGGTCACAGTGGAAGCTAGATTTCATTAGTATTCTAAATGAAAATGTGGATGAAAAATCACAAAAAAATCACCATGTTGCTGAAAGTCAGTCCCTCCTGTGGCCGTCTGCCAGCTGATAACCAAACATCCTTGAACAATCCGCGAAGGGAGGTAACACTACTGCTTACTGAGCAAGCTGAATGTCTCCTTGACGTAAACAGTTCCACAGGAGCTTCAAAATCTGGGTAAATATTGAAGTCTCCGAGAATAATAATATTCTGACCTTGAAAGCCTGTAAAGAAAAAAACTGATATCATCATCATCATCACATTGCAAGTCCTTAAAAAAAAACGTTGGGGTGTTGTAGGTCGACCCAGCCTAAAATGGGTACCAGGATGTATGTCCTGGGGAAGTAAAGATGGCCGGCGTAAAGCTGATCACATTACCCACCTAGTGCCGATTGGTCTGTAAAAATATGGGCGTTCTTCCCACATGCTTGATGCACCTAGAGGCGTGAAAAAGGATCTTTACTTTACTTTAAAAAATGTCAATCTCATCAAGCTTTGCCTGAAAGAAACTCTGTCTCTCGCTAGCGGTCCTGTTTCATGCACTTTCCTACCCAAGCAGCCTCTTATATCATGTGCTCATCTTCATGCTGGTTGGCCCCTGCCACTATTTCCTGGTACCATCCTGCTGTTACTCTTTCTAATCTGCCATGTGCCGCTTGATGCCAAAATTTTTCAGTTTCTGAGATCAGATGCCGTTTATGGGCCGATCTTTCTTGTTGTTCAAATCTTTTAGGAGAGCACTATTTATTTTCCTCCTATCCAAAGAAATCTGGGTATCTTTCGATAGCATTTGATCTCAAAAGCCCCCAGTCCTTTATTTAAGATAGCACTCAGCGATGATGTTGGCAATATAATGCAGACTCTTTTTACTTCCCAGAAAATTTCCAAAACCAAATCAAAACATTGAATCTTTTCAGGACAAAAGTCTTCTTCTTCTTCGCATTCACGGACTGTAAACTTCAGTGGAAAGTTCTGGTTGTTCGTCCACTTCTAGACTGCAGTCTTGTTCAAAAACTTGAGTTTTGCCAGCACATCCATTTGATGAATCTGCCTTATTGGAACACTGACTGCTGGTTCCTGATCTCTCAGGGGAAATCACTCTGACTTTGAAGGAAACAATTCTTATGAGTTGCCTTTTACAAGATGCAATTTAGGAAGACAGTGGTTTGATTCTTCTTCCCCAAAACAGTGAGGCTTTGGAACCCACTGGGATAATTAGCATTGAAAGTGACCTTTAGCAGATCAAATCAAATCACAACAAAGTTATAAAGCTTGGTCTGGTTTGGTCAAAATAACGGATCAACATCATGGCACATAGATAGTAACCCATAAGTGCTCCATTCTACTTCAACTCAAGTCTGAGTCTGAAGAATCTCAGCGCAGTGAACAAAGCTCTGTAGCTTTGGCGAGGATCCTGAAATACTTTGGGTAGATTTTAAACTCCAAATTTTTGCCTGGGCAGCGCCGTTAGGCTACTCTTTTTTTATTTCCAACTGACCAGGAATTTGTTATGTGCGCAAAAATACACACGGGCGTCTGTTCTTATCATCCAGAGACAAGGAAAAATTACTAGAAGTCCATTTGACAAACAATCCCAGCCTTTACCAGGGCCTGAACCCAGGACCTCCAGCACTCGAGGCGGAAGCTATTCCTCGAGACCACTCAGCCCCCGTATCTTCTTCTTCTTCACGTTCACCAGCTGTAAACTGTGGCGGAAGGTTCTGGTTGCTCGTCCACTACTGAACTGCAGTCCTGTTCCAGAACCTGAGTGTTGCGTGTGCATCAGTTTTACAGATCTCATTCTCTTGAATACAGACTGTTGGTTCCTTGCCTCTCCGGCAGATGCACTCCGACTTCAAAGGAAGCTCCCCAATTAGTAGACTCTTACGACATGCTTTTGGGGAGGCAGTGGGTCTATTCTTGTTTTCCCCACAATGGGGCCCCGGAACCCACACGGGGGAGTCCCCGTATAATAATTATAAAACTCATTACCAGAGGTGATTTTTAAGACATCAACAGCATTCTGGCACTGCTGCTGGCGGTCGTAAGAGAAGTGGACAACGATGATGTCAACAACATCCTCAATGTCTGGGCCCAACCTAATCTTCACCTGGACACCAACTCGAGGATTTCTGTCGGAGCTGGATGCTTTTGTCATGCTGATCACCGATGAAGAAAGTATTTGTTTTCGGCTCAAGATTGCCAGACCTGGAAGACATCAAATTACAAAAAATCAGCACTCCTTCTCATGTTCACCACCTGTAAACTCAGGCAAACAAGTTATGGTTGCTCATTTATTTCTGGACTTTAGACTTGTTCCAGAATTATGGTTTTGTATGCACTTCCATTCTGCAGATCTGGCCTACTGGTATGACCCTGTCTTTGAAATATGGAAAAAACTTTTTGATCTGAAAATCTAGGGTTAATTTTCGCAGTTATGGTTATTATGTTGCATATATTAATTATAGAAAATGAGTACCTACCTGTACAGCTCTTTAAAGAAAGAATTAAACACCAAATGAAAAATGTTCACCAACTCAATTAAACTATTCTAAATAATTTTAGTTCACCTGAACAAAATAGTTTATCAACATTTTTCTTTTAAATCCAGAATTTTAATTTGATTATGCGTTCTGAAATCCATGCCGGAAAAATGGCCAGTTTTTTTTTAAAAGCAACCTGAGCTTAAATGAATGTATGGGACTAGTGTTCTGAAGTTGGCAAAAAGTGATCGGTCACCATCAGTAGATATTCATGAATATATGTGAAGATTAAATTCCGGCTAGCCTTTATATGTCTCTGGTTTCACTGAAGCTTAGACAATTTTTTTCTTCTGTGTTACATCTCCCAGTGAAGCACAGGCCTTTAACCAACTCATATACAGGTGTATATAAACTTGCTCAAGATACCAAGATTCACCTCAGTATAGTATAACAGACTCAATACAATGTTTGAATACTTTCTAACTTTCAATGAAAATAACTGAATGCATAAATGTATGCAAAAATAACATTACTACATAGTCAAAAAACTTTAAATTCTATAGCCCATGCAGTGTTGAATTGATTGTCATAACTTTCAATCATTTCTGAGTAGATGATCCTCCCTGCCATGATGTTCAATTGTCCAGCATCTTGTCTCTCAATCTACCTTGCCTCTTTTCCCCTCCTACTTTCCAACTGTCACAATGTACTTCAGTTTTCTCCCTCTCATGCTGTAACCAGAGAGTGTAGTCTTTCTCCTTCTGATGTCAGCAATCAGTTCTCTTTGTGAGTCAGTTCCCTCTGTGTGTTAATTTCTTTCATTTTCCCAGCATTTGGGTTCCGGGGCCCTATTATAGGGAAAAATGAATAGACCCACTGCCTAGCCAAAAACAAGTCATAAGAGTCGACTAATTGGGAGCTTCCTTTGAAGTCAGAGTGCATCTGCCTGAGAGGCAGACAACCAACAGTCTGCATTCAAATGAATCAGATCTGTAAAATGCTTGCACAGGTAACCCTCAGGTTCTGGAACAGGACTGCAGTCCAGAAGTGGACAAACAACCAAAATTTTTTCACCAGCTGGTGAACACAAAGAAGAAGAAGATTACTGTTTTTATCTGTGCATGGTGACATCGTTATTCATCTATAAAGCCACATCTTTGCTTCAGTCAGAAATATGTCAATCACAGCATTCACCTTCACAAGGCATACATACCTTCTTGTCCCCACTCAGTCCTGTAGGCATCACTGTTCATAGCAACAACCCCAGCAGACTTTACAACAAACCACCTGTACTCTGGCAGCAAGAGCTTGAATTCATCCACCTGAGATGAAATCATCCTAGGATGTTCCTTTTCTGTCAGCCGCACTTCCTGGAAAGCTACGATGTCAATGGCATTTTCCTTAATCTAGGAAAAAAATAGTTAAAAGTTAGTTGTTAAACTCTTCAATGGCATTTTTCCTAATCTAGGAGAAAAATAATTAAAAGTTAGTTGTTAAGCTCTTCAATGGCATTTTCCCTAATCTAGGAGAAAAATAATTAAAAGTTAGTTGTTAAACTCTTCAATGGCATTTTCCCTAATATAGGAGAATAATAATTAAAAGTTAGTTGTTAAACTCTTCAATGGCATTTTCCCTAATCTAGGAGAATAATAATTAAAAGTTAAACTCGTCAAGGCAAAGAAAAAGCAGAAGAGATGTCACCTGATCGCAGTATATTATATTACCTAGGATATGTGAACGCTTCACACTTCTAAAGCAATGTCTGTCATTACTCTGTGTGTAAAACTTAAAGTTAAGAGGATTGACTTCATTCTTCTTCTTCTTTTGTCATCTCACTGTTAGCAGGTTGTAGTCCAGTGCTGTAGTTTTCTGTATTTGTCTTGCACTTCTTAGATGACTCTGCCTCAGGCACACCAAGTACCCGACGCTCAGTTGAATCAGAATCCTGACGAGAAACGACACAATCCCGTCCTCGCAGTTCAGCTACAACCCACCACCCGACTTCTGTCGATCATAGTGGCAAATAACGTTTTGGGCATTCAACGCCTTGTCTCTACAAAATCCGCACAACTGGAGCATTTCGACTCATACACCAAATTCTAATGCAAAAGCTAAACTTTCACTGAACTAAAATAATACACATAATTACTGCTAAAAATTCACAGACATCTGGACATGCGACCTCACTAAGTGAATGACTGAAAGACGCTAACTAAACACTCAATGGCCAAACTTCAGCTCAGCGCTCCGGCACCAGCAAGGTTCTCACTAAGTGCATGCAAACCACTGTTAGTCGTAAATCTCCAGAAACACCTCTTTCACACCTACGTGCATAGCGTGGACCTTTGCACTCGTCTCTCACCTCAAGCCACATGGACCCTTTGCTCACCTCTCTGTTACCATCATCATCCATTACGACTGGCGCAGGCGATCACGCCTCTGACCAGCCCAGTGAGTTCAGCATGTAACAGACATTTTATGTGTTAATAACCTTCATATGTGTCTAACATCCTTGAATGTTGTGGGATTTTAATAATTTTGTTTTTGTAGAACTGATACTTAAAAAGTTTAGATTTATTCTGCATTCATTTCTCTTTAATTTGATACAATATATGTCCCTATACAGCCAATACTTTATCTTGAGGAAGGTTTTAGCTTTGTTATGTTGCAGTAAACACAATTCAGCTCAAAATTAATTCTGTTCAAACCCGAGAAAAAAATGTCATCCTGAAAGAGTTAAGGCTGTGTGTGTGTGTGTGTGTGTGTATATATATATATATATATATATATATATATATATATACATACATATATATATATATGTTATTGCATATGTATGTCTATATATTTATCTAGGTGTGTATATTGCATACCAGCACCCACCCCAACAACCATCACTAGATACTAGAAAAGAAGAGTACCGGTCAAAGCCAGTAGTTTTTGATGCCGATGCATGTCCAGATGTCTGTGAATTTTTAGCAGTAATTATGTGTATCATTTTAGGGTCGCTACACCAAAAATGTTTTTTTTTTTTTTTTATTTACAGAGGTAGAGCATTTATTTTTTTAATGGTCATTTGTAGGGATACATGTTATTACATTTGTATACTTTTAGTGTAAAAAAAAAATCATGGTTTTCATGGCAATAGTCGCCATCTTGTGGAAAAAAAACAATTTGTCCTTAGAATCCTAAAATTTTAAAAAGAAACAGATGTATTCAACAATAGATGATGGATTCATTACCTTTAATCTTATTTAGAGGTACAGGTGGAGTTTATTTACTTTAAACATGTTTTTAAATATTTTTCGTAGAATTTTAAAATGTAGGTTTATTGAAAAAGTCAAAAAAATCTAGCATTATAAGACAATAATCAAATTACAAAAATCAAAAACTTTTAAAAATCTACTTTTAAATAGACCAGTCCCTATAATATTGTTTAAGGAGTATCCATATCAAATTTTATGTTTCAAGTCTTCATATTAGCTGAGATTGTAGGATTTCACACACACAACAAACATAAATATAGAGATGTGAGAAAACTTACTTTTAAACTTTTTTTTTATCTCAAAAAGTTCATGGGTTGGTGTCTTTAGTATTAACTTTTCAATGCTAAATAGTTCACAAATGACATAAATTTTGTGTGTCATCTATTCTATGAATGCTGAACTTTACAAAAACGAACACATTGAAAAAGTGATATTTTTGTCATAAATTGGAAAAAATGCTGTGTAGTGACCCCTTAACATTTCTTAGCCAACATAATTGGCACAAAGAAACCAGACCAAAATTATAACCGCTACTGCTAGCAGTAGGTTGAACGTGGTCGACCTTTTGTTTTGTTTTGGCTATCCTCTGAAAAACCTCCACATATTCTGGCGGCCAAAAAAAGGGCCTCAGTCACTCACATGTCAATTGCGGACTTCCTGCGACTTAAATTGCGGACTTCTGGCGACTACCACCACCGCCGAGAGTATCTCCCACTCCGCTAAACTAGATGGCTGGGACTCACGAGCAAAGCTGCAGGAGATGCGGAAGCTGCTGCTTGTGAGTCTCAGCCATCTAGTTTTGTCCCGCTCCGCGCCACGCGTAACGGTGCAAATGATACTGTTGGCAGTCAGCAATTTAAGTCGCTGGAAGTCAGCAATTTACATTTGACTGAGGCCCTGTCAGAGTGTGTTTTTGACCGCCATAATATGTGGCCGTTATTCGGAGGATAGCCGTTGTGTTTTCATAATGATGATGGATGAAAGCTCTATGTAAGTATGTATGTTCACTTACAATGTCAGCAATATGTTGGACTCTTGTTTTCCAGTTGAACATGACATTCCAAAGATTACAGGATCCAACAGTAATGGACACTGCATGACTATATGTAGCTAAAATGAGGAAGAGAATATGAAAACAACGGACAGTAAACATCGCCGTTCACGACACAAGTATGTCTGTCGTCCATAGAGAGAGTGTTTGGATACGGACTTTCTCTACAGTTTGTTTACAGTCATCGTACCGGATATATATCGCGTTATACTTGGGGCGGTATATTCTAATATAAAATTATTATTTGAGTGTTAATCAATCATTCAGTCAGTGTAGTGCCGTCTCCACAATGAAGGTTGGCTGTAGTGGATATTCATTATGCCCTGAAAAAACCTGAGTTTCCCAATTTCCAGCATCTATGCAAGACCGTCTCGCCTTGGTCTATGCTCTACGATCTCAAAGACTTAATATCCTGTCGTGCTGAACAGTCAGATGTGAGAAAATTTCAGGGCACGAACTTCTTCTTCTTCCTCGCGTTCACCAGCTGTAAACTCCACTGAAAGGTTCTGGTTGTTCGTCCACTTCCGTTCCAGAACCTGGGTGTTGCGTGTGCATCAGTTTTACGGATCTGACTCTTTTAAATGCAGACTGCTTGTTCCTTGCCTCTCAGGCAGATGCACTACGACTTCGAAGGAAGCTCCCAATTAGTCGACTCTTACAACATGCTTTCGTGTAGGCAGTGGGTCTATTCTTGTTTTTCCTATAACAGGGTCCCGGAATCCACACGGGGAAGGGCACGAACTGAAACACACCGTTGGTGATGGTGTGTTTTGGAAAAAGTATGATCATCCATGTCCCTCCACATAACACTGATGATGATGTGGGCGATGATGATGATGTGGGCGATGATGATGATGTGGGCGATGATGATGATGTGGGCGATGACGATGATGTGGGCGATGATGATGATGTGGGCGATGATGATGATGTGGGCGATGATGATGATGTGGGCGATGATGATGATGTGGGCGATGATGATGATGTGGGCGATGACAATGATGTGGGCGATGATTATGATGTGGGCGATGATGATGATGTGGGCGATGAGGATGATGTGGGCGACGGCGATGATGATGATAATAATGATGCCATTAACGCAAAACTGGCATGGTTTAAAAAATGGAGGGAAACAATAATCACCAATTTTAAAGACATAAGAAACTCTTTGTCCTTTTGCATAGGCGTTCCACCACCTTCTCATTCCCGCGCTTTTATGTTTTTTTTTTATTGCTGTTGCCTTTTCCACCTCTTTGTCCTCCATTACGAATTAATCTAGTATACTCTATTTATATCTGATCCCATTTCGAACATGCTGTTCTATACTGTTACTATAGCAATGTTTTGCACAAGCACTAGATAAGGTCAAATCAAACGTCTCTGCGAGAACTCGGGCATGCTTTTATTATTTTACCTCGTTTTTCTGCTCGTTTTTTTTTTTTTGGGGGGGGGGGGGGGGGTTTGTTTTGCCACAGAAACATCTGTGTGAAGGATCTGTTTCGTCTGTTAGATAATCGTGTCTTTTTACATAACGATTTATATGTTTTTAAGCAGCGATTTATATGTTTGATGTCTTGTCAACCTTTGTTTCGTTCTTCTTCCCATTCATTTTTATATTGTCTCACACGCTGTCTAAGTTTCAATCTAATATATTTTTTTCATATTTGACTTTCACCCCACCCCCTCTCCCTCTACACTCACACATAAAAAGACACAATTACTGAATCTCTCTCTCTCTCTCTCTCTCTCTCTCTCTCTCTCTCTTTCTCTCTGTTTCGCAAGTTTACTCTCTTTCTCCCACTTTCTTTCACACTCACTTTCTTTCTTCTTTGTTTCTTACTATGATTCTCTCTTCCCTCTCTCTCTCTATCTCTCTCCTATTCTTTCTCACTTAATCTTTTTCTTTTCTTACTATCATTCTCTCTCTCTCTCTCTCCCTCCCGCTGTCTCTCTATCTATCGCATTCTATGATTGTCCCACAATTGCGCATTCCCCCTTTTTGTCTTGCTCTTCTATTCATTTTCCGTTCCAGCCTCTCTTTCACTCGTTCCAACCTTCCCCACCTCCATCCCTAGCCTTTCGTTTTCTCTCTTTCACCTGCCAATGCTTTCACTTAATCTTGTTTTACTATCTCGCTTTTCGACTCTTACTCGCTTTCAGCCTCTCACTCACTCCAACACTCTCACTCTTTTTCTCTCCTCCCTTCCCCTCTCTCTCTCTCTCTCTCTCTCTCTCTCTCTCTCTCTCTCCCTGTCTCTTTCTGACACCTATAAATAAACCCATTATTTTGCAGTAATCTTCTGGTACTGTCGGTTCTGTGGCTAAGTTGATGCGAATACTTCGTAATGGCGGGATGCCGGGTTCGATCCCAGCTGCGGGCCATGCGCCTTGCGTTGGTTTAGACAGTGGTATCAAGAAAGCCGACCGTCCAGACAGCAATGGCAAACTACTGGATGTAAATTTGCCTAGAAAAACCACTCAACGTTGACGTTGGTTCTGCAACATCCTGTAAAGAATACGCAACTAACCTCTATCTTCGGGTATTCCCTGTGAATTTCACACCAAAGACTCTTCATCGTCATCATCGTTATCATCATCACCAATTCTCGTTATGCCTAGTGGCACATGAGGTTTCAGATAGGACTTCCCATGCTTTCCATTCCTGTGCAACCTTTAGTGCAGTTTTCCATGTCGGAGATGCAATAATCAATTCACTTTCCATTGTTCCTTTCCATGTTGTCTTTGGGCGTCCCTTCCTTCTGGTGTCCAGGTGAGAGCTGTTTTTGAAGATTTTTAGAGTTCATTCTCTTGACGTAGCTAAGTCATGTCCATCTTCCCTTTGTTAATATACTGTCAAGAGTTTTTTTTGTGTGTGTTTGTTTAGTATTTGAGATTGTATCTGGCCAGAACATTGTCATACAAGGTCTGACAATTAAGTAATGAGACTAATTCAATAAAAAATTAAAATAATCAACAGTTGAAGATATAACATGTATTTTATTCAAAGTAAGCCCCTTGTGTATTATTACCGCAAGTGGCACGATCTAACAAACACTGGAACGACTTCTGTAGTTCTTCTGTTGTTATGACCCTTAAAGTCGATGTTACGGATCTTTGGGTGTCATTTAAGTTTTAAGTTAGTTGCGTATCCTTTACAGGACGTTGTAGAACCAACCCTCAGCCCCTGGCTGTTGTGTGGTTTCTCTAGGCAATTTACATCCAGTAGTTTGCCATTGCCCTGGACGGTCGGCTTTCTTGATATCACTGTCGAAACCAACGCAAGGCGCATTGCCCGCAGCTGAGATCGAACCTGGCATCCCGGCATTACGAAGCGAAGCGTTCGCATCGACTTAGCCACAGAGCCGACTGGGTGTCATTACAATTGTTTAAAAAGCGTCCTTTTAATCGAAACTTTAATTTTGGAAATAGAAAATAATCACAGGGAGACAAATCTAGGAAATAGGGTGGAAGGCTGAGAATACACACTTGTTTTTGGCTCAAAAATTCTTGTTTTGATGATGTCTCTTGAGTACTCAACCCGCTGATGTTTCTGGTCATCAAACAACGAATGTGGTACAAACCGGCAAGCAACTTTTTTCTTGCCAAAATCCTGCACCTACATTTTATTAATGGTCTCTCTTTTACCACCAGATTCATATGTCATTGTCTTAACAGTAAAAAAAAAAAAAAATGATCTTTTTGTATCCATTCTCTGACTTTTTCAATGAGTTCATCATTACCAACATAAATTTGGAGTCCAGGTTTAGGTGCATTATTAATTATTTCTACACCACTTTTGAATCGTGAATACCACCTGAAAATTTGTGCACAAGGTAAACAATTATCCCCATAAACTTGTTGAATCAATTGAACTGTTTCAATAACATTTCTTTCTGAGTTTTAAAAAGAATTTAATGTTAGCTTTTTGCTCCGTGCTGATTACGTAACAATGCATCTCTGACTAGGTAAAAATATGGCGGCTTGTTTGTTGTCTGCTTATCAAACGGTGATGAAAAGTTGCCACATCATAGATGAATGTTGTCTCTTTAGAGTGCATGCTTTGCTTTATATATTTAGCATTTTTGTCTTGCCCACAATAAAATCAGTCTCATTTCTTAATTGTCGGACCTTGTAATTCTACGTAGACATGTGTGGTGGAAGGTGGATAGTTTGCGCGCATCCTTTCTGGTCATTTTCCAGCATTCTTCTCGATAAAGAACTGTCAAAATGTTCTCTTGCAGAGTCAGAGTATTTTCCTCTGCAGTAACTGTTGGATTTTCAGATTTGCCTCATCCTTCCAGAAGCGGCTCTAGCTTTGTTAAAGCATGATTGTGTGTCTTCCTCTGCCACTCCCATTAAGGTTACCACATTGCCAAGAATGTGAACTGTTCTACATTTTCAAGTGTTTGGTCATTTTTTATCACTTGTTGTTGGTTTGGACTGTTTTGTCATAATTTTAGTTTTCCTTGTATTTATTCTCAGTCCCACCATTTCTGCTGTGCTATGTAGTCTGCGACTTTTCTCTTGTATATGTTCATGTTTATGTGATAGCAGTGCTATATCGCCTGCAAAATCAAGGTCCTCGAGCATGATGAATGGAGTCCATCGTATGCCTCTGGATGTCTTGTCCACTGTGTTCTTTAGTATCCAATCAACCACAAGGTTAAAAAGGATGGATTACATAACACATCCCTGTCTTACACTTGTTTTTATTGGGAAAGATGTGTTGTAATTTTTTTTACACTGCAAGAACATTCTTTACAGAAAAGACCACCACTGCTATGTTCAATCAATCAGGTGCCGTCTCCACAGTGAAGGTTAGCCGCAGTGAAACTCCAACACGCTCTTTTTCTTGTCTTAGTTGTACACTCTCTAAGACTGCTGTTCGTCCATCTCTTGATGTCGTCCACCCACATGTAACGTTGTCTACCTCTTGCTCTCCATTTATCGACCTTTGCCTCCAGTATGATTTTTAAAAGCGTATTATGCCTTTTATTGTGGCAAAATGTCTCTCATTCTGCTGCTCGCCCATCTCTTGATGTTGTCCACCCACTTGTACCGTTGTCGACCTCTTGCTCTCAATTCCTCGACCTGTCCCTCCAGTA